TTCACTCTATGCTTTGACGGCTCTCCTCAATGGCTCCCTTGTGTTTCTCTTTTACTCTCTTCACTTCTTGCTGGTTTTTGCTCTCTCTATTTTTATGGTTTTCTCTCTTACTCTTTGCCCTCAATATCTCTATCTCCAAAGTGTGTTAATGATAGTGAGTGATAGTGAATGATGGTTTTGTGCAGCCTCCAAGCCTCCTTATCTCCCTTTTTCTGCTGCCTTTTTCTGCTGTACCAAAACCACAGCTCTTGCACAAGATTCAACTTTCATAATTTCCATTCTTGGCAACAATTATGGCCACTTTCTTGGTGCAACCCTGCTTTTTTCCACTTCTAGTATGCTGCTTTTGTTGTATTTCTTTTGCAGCACTCTATGTTGCTTTCCAACCTTGTACCTATTGGTTGGTTGATTTGTTTTGGACATACCCATGTAGTCCATACAAGACCTTTTGGACATCATTTTCAAATTCTGATTTTTGATGTGTAGATGTATCAACATAAGCTTATAGCCTTGGTTTTGTGACATAAAATGATTTTGTAATATGATACACATTGCCACTTCTTGCATGTGGCTGTTTTGGACCATATTCAAATTGCCCATGAATGTATGCATAGCCTTGATCTTGGGATATTCCAACATTGAATTAGCTTTTAAATATTTCCTTGCATGTTTGTAAGCACAAAGAGGACCATGTGGACTTGATGAGGCATGGGGGATACCATGGCCTGAAGTTATTTTTAGAAACTTGAATTAAGACTAGAAATAGCTTAATTTCCTAAGCATTACCAAGAGTTTGGATTTTGTAACAAATGTGACATTCTTGCAAATGTCATGAAATTTCTCTTTGTAATATTCTTGAATCTAGCCTTGAATTCATGAACCTTGAATTTGGAATGATGGGCCTCCCTTATGTCATTGAATTTGAAAGAAATGAAGAAATGAGTCAAGTCTTGAAAGAGGGCAAATTTTGGGGTGCAACACCCTCATGCAGGGATACGTCATAAAGTAACTACCCATGTTCTGGAGATTCGGTCTTCCTCCTCTCGGATAGTGCAGAACAGTTACCCTAGGGCAAAAACCACGTGCTAGTCTTCACGAAGCCACGTCAGCCCTAGCAGTTACTAACATTGGGCCTGACATCTCAGCCCAGTGCTAGGTAACCGTTGGCCCTGCGCTGTGGGCTCACTATAAATACCCTCTTCACTAGAGGGTCAGGTAACTTAACTTCTTACTCTCTCTGTGTGCTTGCTTCCACTCTGCCCGTCATTTACTTTGGCATCGGAGTGTGTTTCAGGTATACCCCCTCCTCTGCAATACTTTCGGTGAGCAGCTAGAAGATCAAGGACGCGTGGCAGTTCATAGCTCCCCTTTTGGTCAGGTACGATCAACTTGTAAAGTAGAAAATAAGAGTTTAGGATTTTGAAAGTCGTAGGCTTTCTTGTGCTGTAAGTCTCCCTGTATATCGGTTTGATACATTGTGGTAGACATTGATGTTTATGCAGATTCAAAAACCTATAGGTAATGAATCGTGTATTGTTCTTGGATTAAGCTTTGAAGTAAATCCATGAATTGTTTGTCAGTCAAAAGTCTTGACTGATTGTTGATCAGAATGATGCAGTTATAAGATGTAGTAAATGTTAGGTATCACAGGTTGTGATTTAGGAATTGAGATAGGTTTCTCTTATTTATATGGTGATTTCTATATAGAATTGTATTGGGTAGGAATTAAGTGAGGAGTTTTAAACGGGGGAGTTTAGCTCTAAATTAATACTGTTAATAATGAATTCATTCCTGGCTTGGTAGCCCCCAGATGTAGGTGATTTGCACCGAACTGGGTTAACATATCTTATGTTATTTATCATTATGCAAATTTACAGTTTAATATTTGCCTTTTGATTAACATATTGTAACAGATGTCGAAACATCTGCTGTGCTCCTATTGCTGATATTCAGAGTATCAACTTGATTATTCAGCCCTTGTTTTTAACATTATGCAGAGAACAATGTAGTGACATGTTGTAGGACATCTGTGATCTGCTATGCCATAATTTCAGTTTGATTTTAGACAAACATACATTGATTTAGAGTGTGTACAACAATCTAGATAATGGTTGAAAAAATCCACCATCTATACATATCTACTATATCTGACACATTTCATAAAACTTCATGAGAAAGATCAAAGACAAAAGCCTCCATAAAACGTTGTTAACATGGGTAAGTATCTCTATTTGACAATAAAATTTGTTAACATTCTAGGATTATACTTTTAGACGTACATTGTATATTTATACCATACAAGGTATGCTTTAAACCAATAACACTATTGAAAATAAATTGGGTTGGTTAATTTACAAACTTTTAGGTGGGTCGATAATATTCAGCTAGACAAGTGGACGAGAGCATTTTAGAAAGGTCGAGGTTGGGTCACATGAAAACAAACCTCATAAAGTTAATGAACTCACTCTTTAAAGGCACTTATAATCTTCCCATCTCAGGGTTGGTAATGGCGACCTATTATAGGCTAGGATTTCTATTTGCTGACAGGGGATCAAAATGGAGTGTAGTGTTATAATCTAGCTAGATATTCACACACAAAATGCATGAACATGATAAAAGAGGAAATTGTCAAATCTAACACGCATCAGGTAACAAGATTTTACGGCTAAATTACAACTCTAGTCTCCAGAAGATGATGGGCAATAATGAGGGAAGCCATATGGGACATTACAAGGTCGACCTTGGAATTAGTTGGTGCGATTGTTGAAAATTTTAAGCTTTTGGGTTCCTTGCTCTCATGTTATTACAGCATGTTCCAATGTGCGCCAAAATGTTTTTGTTCATTTGTCACACGTTTACAATGTCGTAAACAGGGGTGGCAAACGGGCATGTCTGCCCCGTTTAGGAATGACACACAAAAATCCGCAAAAAATAGGGCAACGCAGGGCATACATAAAACTTTGGCCCACCCCACAAAAAAAATGAGGGCAAGGTGGTGAGGGTCGCGGGTGTTGCACCTTTTAAGGTTAAAAATTGCAAATTTTATGTTAATGTCCACGCTCGTAAAAGCTCACAAAAAAGGGGCAGGGCAGGGCATGCATATTAGAATATGTGGGCCAAAAACCTTTGTCCACCTTATGTAAAATTGCGGGCAAAAGGGGGCATATCCAACGGGTCGGACCTGTTTTTTCATTCCTAGTTGTAAATCTATTTGGAATTTACAAAAAAAGCTTTCCAGTGCTACCAAACGAGGAATATTAACATATTTATGGAAGGGATAAAAAAATTACATAATCCAAAGTTGCGCACGAACAAGAAAGATCACCCAACACAACAAACATATTATAACTAAAATGGACACTGCTAATAAATTACAGAAAAAATACGTTTTGTATCATCTTATTAATCACACCCGAAAACAGTGTCCTAATGTTATAACTAATTCTAGTTAAATATTTTTGTTGTTGTTAAATATCAATTTTAAATCACTTGCAAGCTTTATATTATAAATATAAAATTTAGATCACAACACAACAAAGCAACAACACAACACAACATTTAACATTATTATATAATTGTTTAATTTTATTAGCACGTTCGACATATAAACTAAAAAAAATGTAATTGTTTAATTTTATTAGCACATTATTATATAATTAATATTTAAATTAAATTAATTAACTAATATAAAAAATATATATATTCACTTTTAAACATTTTTGATTTTATTATTATGAAAAATAAATAATTTATTTTTTACTTTAATATTTAATTATTTAACATACATTAATTATTATTTAAATAAAACGAAAATTATTAAAATACATAAAATAAATGAAAATCTAAAGAAAAGGCATTGTACATGCTTTTTCAAATTATAAGTACTTTGAAATAGAAAATTTGTCCTAAATTATAAATTATTTATGATTTCGACGTAACTTTAATAACTATTTTATTATATTTTTTTATTATTTATCTCTCTCTTTTTATTCTTTTATTTTTTTATATAATTAATAAAATATTATTTATTTCTCTTCTTCTTATTCTTTAAATTTCTTTCTATATAATTAATGAAAGATTACATTATAAATTCATACATAATTTCTTTTCTAACAAACAAAATTAATTATATTTTTTAATTTATACTAAATATTCAAAATGACTTATAATTTTAAATAGGGGTAGTATTTTAAATCCGTAACAAAATAATAGTATTTTAATTAAAATATTTATTTTAAAATTAATGACATTGTAATTTTATTTTTTAAATAAAATATTAATTATTTTTTCAAACTATACATTTACATATATTTTATTTTATGTGCACTATTTTCAAGCCGTTAGTCTCCGTCATTTTGATGAGCATTATATTTACTTCTTTTTTATATATATTTTAAGAAAATCAGTGAATTTAATGTGTTTATTTTAAATGTAGATTTTACAAAAAAAATTTAACCTTTTAACTTTGTATTTGAATAATATATAAATTAGATAAACTGATTATTCTTTGATTATTGTTTGTATCGTGGTGAGCATGAGCATAGAACACAATTTGATGCATTGTAAGAGGAGAGGAAACACACTTCACATCACAGTCACACCCCCCATCCCAACAAAACACGCGTCAAAATCCAGCTCCACACCGACACGTTAATGTAAGAGACAATCCCGGCGCATATTTCTAACCTGCACCGCCATCTCTCTCCCCTTGATTTTTCAATCTCTCTATGCAAAATTCCCGATTCATTCTCTCTTCCTATTTCCTTTTCCTCTCATTATTATTCTACATGATTTTTCAATGATCATCAAATCCAAATCACCATCATCATTCCCCGATTCATTTTCGTTCCTCTGCTAACAAACTCCACAAGGTTTATGTTTTTTTTTTTTTGAGGTTTAGGCTTAGGTTTTTTGTTCTGCCAAGATTTATCTTTTTCTCTGAATAACAAAATGGATTGCAAAGTTTGATTTTGAGTTCATATTTTGAAATTCTATTTGGAATGCAGAGACGACGCTCTGTCACCGGCGTTCTCCCTGGCCAAATGGAAAAGAGTGTATCAAAGAATCAAAATTCCCGGGTTTGCTGTTTGGCATTCTTATCTGCATTCCTCTGGTTTTTCCTTTTGTACTTTCATTTTGTGTTTCTTAGAGGAGATAATACTAATGCTAATACTACTACTGATTTTGTTGATGATCACATTCACACAAACAAATTAATACCTGTTATACATGAATCTACCTCAATCCATGTTAGTGTCCCTGAAGTGAAACCCCCTCCTAGAAAGATTGGTTTCCCCAACCCCGTTGAGATAAAGAGTTATCCCCCTCCCCCTAAGAGTTTCCCTTTTAGTAAAGCGTTGAAAAGTGGTGAGAATAAGAGTGATCCTTGTGGGGGAAGGTATATTTATGTGCATGATCTTCCTTCAAGGTTTAATGAGGATATGTTGAAGGAGTGCAAAAGTTTGAGTCTTTGGACTAATATGTGTAAGTTTACTGCAAATGCTGGTCTTGGGCCGCCGCTTGAGAATGTTGAAGGGGTGTTTTCTGATACAGGTTGGTATGCGACGAATCAGTTTGCGGTGGATGTTATATTTAGTAATCGGATGAAACAGTATGAGTGCTTGACTAATGATTCGTCTATTGCTGCTGCCATTTTTGTACCGTTTTATGCTGGGTTTGACATTGCAAGGTATCTTTGGGGTTATAATATTTCACGGAGGGATGCGGCTTCGCTTGATCTGGTTGATTGGCTTATGAAGAGGCCGGAGTGGAGTATAATGAATGGGCAGGATCATTTTCTTGTTGCGGGGAGGATTACGTGGGATTTTCGAAGATTGTCTGAGGAAGAGTCTGATTGGGGGAATAAGCTTTTGTTTTTACCAGCAGCTAAGAATATGTCCATGCTTGTGGTAGAGTCCAGTCCGTGGAATGCAAATGATTTTGGGATTCCGTATCCTACGTACTTCCACCCTGCGAAAGATGCGGATGTGTTCCATTGGCAGGAAAGAATGAGGGGATTAAAGAGGAAGTGGCTTTTCTCCTTTGCTGGAGCTCCACGTCCTGGTAACGTCAAATCAATCAGGGGTCAACTAATTGAGCAATGCAGAAGTTCGCCGGTTGGTAAGCTATTGGAATGTGACTTTGGTGAAAGCAAATGTCATTCTCCTAGCAGCATTATGCAGATGTTTCAAGGCTCGCAATTCTGCTTGCAACCTCAAGGTGATTCATACACAAGAAGGTCTGCGTTTGATTCAATGTTGGCTGGTTGTATACCTGTCTTTTTCCATCCAGGTTCGGCTTACACACAATATACTTGGCATCTTCCTAAGAATTATACCAAGTATTCCGTCTTCATTCCAGAGGATGACATTCGTAAGAAGAATATGAGTATAGAGCAAATACTTCGTCAGATACCTCCTGAACAAGAGAAAATGATGAGAGAAGAGGTCATTAGTCTCATTCCAAGCCTAGTATATGCTGACCCTCGCTCCAAGTTAGAAACTTTGAAAGACGCGTTTGATGTTGCTGTACAAGCAGTAATTAACAAAGTTACACATTTGAGGAAGGATATTATTGAAGATAATATCGACAAAAACTTCATTGAGGAGAACAGTTGGAAATATGCTCTGCTGGATGAGGGAAAGCATGAAGTAGGACCTCATGAATGGGATCCTTTCTTCTCAAAACCAAAGGATGGTAGTGGAGATTCCACTGATTCATCTGCTGCAGCTGCAAAAAACTCTTGGAAGAACGAGCAAAGAGATCCAGTATAAAAGGAAGTGGAAATGATAAATACATGGCTACTGTGAGGTTTAATTCAGATTGAGATACACTTTCCCTGAATTGTGGAAGAATGACAAATCATTGCTTGGATCTTGCTGTCAACTTACTGCTGAAAATGTGTCCAAGCATATTGAACAGGGCTCCTTGTTGAACACCCCAGTGTGAGGACTTTTCTTTTACTTCACATGTTTTTTATATAGGTTTATCTTGATTTCTGCTTCATGTATTATGATTAGTGGTTCCTAGAATGAATTTTAGGAGGTTTAATAATTTCTTATTTAATATTTTTGTCCATTTGTTTCATATAGGAAAATAAACAAATCTATATCATAGTTGAGTGTAAACTTGAACAAGTTTAATTATTGAAGTCTTCTGGATAGATTGCTATCTTTTTATAATGGCACATTCATTTGCAGTAAAATTCTCTTCCAGTGTATGTAAGGTTCATTTCTTTGGTGTGCAATTATGCATGAAATACATGCTTCTGCATATTGATATCCAGATTTGCGTCTGCGAAATGATTCATCACATGGTGGTTGGTACCAGAAGTTTGGTTACAGACAAATTTTGAAGCATTATTTTGGTAGACATGACTCTGGCAAATGATACTTTTGTCCTTAATGCAGGTGCATGCTGGTATTACAATAGGACTTTCTAACAAAATTTCTTACTTTTTTTTAACATAATAAAAGAAAGCCTTAGAACAATAACCTTTGAGATGTATAGAAAATCAGTTACATGCTGGTAACTAAATTACAGAAAACAAACTTGATAGAGGACAAATGAATAAAAGCGGGAAAAGTTAGCAAATTAACTCAATATTTTATGAACTGCAAATCGTTTGCATTCGAGTATCGCTCCATGAATCTCATGAACCGATCCCAGTCCCGTGGAGTCCGCATTATATACTTTGCTTCAATTCCAGAGGGTTTTCCATTGAGAAATTTAGCATTTACATCAACTGATTGAAGGACTCCTTCCTCATCGATCATGTAAAACCCAGTAATGTCACCTACTTCTCCCGAAGAATCAAAAACTGAGGGTTGATCAAACCTGAAGATAGCCATGCCATTGGTTCCATCCTTTGATTTTGTCAGTTTCACATCTGGTATTGTCAGTTCATCAGTACCTTGAATGAACTGTATTTTCGGTTTCACCGCCATCACGATAACCGGCATGTACATGGGAGATTTTTGAGTTATCATTGGTAACCTCAAACTTGGCACATGTAAATGTTGACCATTGAATGAGGAGTTAAAGTTTAAATTTCCATGGACAATTGCAGAAGAAACTGCATAAACAAAGAGTCTATAATGTTCACCATGAAACTGCATCACTTTTTATTTGCTATATCCAAAAATCTTCAAAGAAATCACATTTTCAAATTAATGGCACTTCTAAGATAACTTCATATTCATAAACATAACAAAAAAATACAATTCTGTCAAAAAAGTGTATGTTTTCTTGAGTAAATTGGCTACATTAACCTACTAAAATTCTGTAATTTCAGGTGTAAACCTCTATAAACTAACCATCACTGTAACTATGCAAGTTAAAATCCTCAAACTTGTTTGAAAGAGAGTGATTGTACCTGAGTATGAGCGTGGCTTCTGAACTGAGTTGTAGAGTGGAGAGGATAATGCAAGAGAGTGCATAGTTGCCATTGCGAAGGAAAGAGAGGAGATTCTCAACACCTTGCTTCTCTAGTTGTCATAAAATCACAAGATAGAGGAAGTAAAATTGTGGTCCACAAAATGTGTTGTGTCACAAACACAACCACTCATTTGTGATGATAATTCTTTTCTTTTTGCAATGGATGAGGTCCATCAGATTTGTGACAAACAGTTGGTGTTGCTGACATGGCATGTGTAATCCGCAAATGATACACGTGGTATTTCACTTGAAATAGAGTACACAGTGGCCTGTATAACTTTCAGCCCAATAGGCCTGTATAATTTTATTAGGAAAATTGATTTTCATATCCCCTTTTCACTCTAAGATATTTTACAACTACAATTTTTGGTATCTACTATTAACTAATTTTAAAGTCTTTAATTGGATACTTATGTTCTTTTTTATCAAGGTTGTGTCAATTTTATTTTTAAGTCTTTATATCAGTAACAAGAAAAATTAAATTAAATAAATTTTCTCATTATGAAACTTAAAATGATCAATAAATGTTTTATGTCAAACAATGATTTAAATATAATATTCGTTTATATAAAATATTTGTTTTAAATTTTTTAAATCAGAGGTAAGAATTAAAATAATCAAAGTTAAAAATATATAATTTTATAACTAAATATTTAGTTGGTATTATGATCATATATACAACAATAATATTGTTCAATGATTTGAGTGAGACACAAAGCTATCACTATCGACTATTATGGATGGGGAAAATCACAATCTTCATCAGTGAAGAGATAACAATCTTCATAGCTAGCGTGTGTCTATTTGTTCCAGGTTTCAGCAAATCGACATTAACGAACAATGTTTTTCACTTTGTCGTTTGTGTCTACATATATTCATAGTTTGTGTCTACATATATTCATAGCTTGGGATTCAACTTTGTGTCTAAAAGAACTAGCTGATCGAAGTTGATCATACTATATATGCTCTAATTAATAAGATTAGGTGTAAGCTTAGTTTGATATTAAAAGCTTAATTAAGTTCGAGATTAGCCCATGATAAAATCTCTCAAGTTCTTGGTTAGTCCATGATAAAACCAATATTAGGTTCGTGAGCAAAGTCTGGTATTAAAAGCTCTACAAGGTTTAAGATTAATCTGTGTTAAAAACTTTGTTTAAAAGCTTGAAGACTAATCGCCCCAAGATTCTTGTGGAAAGAAGACTAACCGCTTCAATCCATCGTTTGGAAGGAAGACTTACCGTTTCACTCCTAATTTATGGTTTGGTTGAAAGTTAGTCATAAACTTAATTTTCCTTATGTAAGGGGGTTCGTGAGTTATAACTACTAAAAATTTTCAAGTTTAATTAGATACTCTCAAGATCAATTCTCAGCGATATGACTAAGTCGTTTTTTATTGAACATGTATAATTTTTAGTATTTTTATCTTATCCCTTAAACTCTTTATTTCAACACTTTATATTCCACAATTTTATTTTCTGCTGCTTATTTATAAACCTTTTCTAAAAATTAAGTATGATTTTGATCCGAAAAGTTTTTCAAATCCATGTTTCAAAAAAGGTACTTGTTGTGATTGTATTTCTGTGTGTCGAATATGATCACACATGTTGTATATTTATATGCAAAATAAATATACACAATAGGTAATAACATAATTTACACTTATGACTAATTAAACGAAAATCAATACTAATTGATTTGCAACCGATTCTCAACACTCCCCCTTAAGCCGGACTGTATATATTGCATGATCTGAGTTTGTTACATATATAATTCCCTTGAGAATCCTTAAGAGACTTGGTAAACATATCATCCAATTGATCTTCAGATTTGACAAACTTTGTGATTATTTCTCCTAACAATACTTTTTCTCTTACACAATGACAATCTATTTCTATGTGCTTGATCCATTCATGGAATACTGAATTGGATGCAATGTGAAGTGACACTTGATTGTCGCATATGAGTTTTGTGTCCTGAAGGTCTCCCAACCTAAGTTCTGAGAGTAAATTCTTAAGTCATGCAAGTTCCTTTGATGTTGCTGCTATAGCATGATATTCAGCTTCAGCACTAGAAAGTGCAACTGTGTTTTTTTTTCTTGCTCCTACATGAGATCATATTTCCTCCAATAAGAACATAATATTCAGAATTGGATGTCTTATCCGACGATGATCCTTCCAATTTGCATCTGAATAACACGTGATTTTAGCATCACCCTTATTTTCATATAATAGGCTTCTTCCTAGTGCATTCTTTATATATTTGAGAATCCGAATAACTGCATTCCGATGAGTATCACAAGGAGCATTCAAAAATTGACTCACAATGTTCACTGCAAAAGTAATATCCAGTCTGGTGACAGTAAGATAATTAAGTCTACCTACTAGACGTCGATATCTTCCCGGGTCTTTCAACAGCTCCCCCTGGCCCGGAAGAAGCTTGACGTTGGGATCCATAGGAGTATCAATTGGACAACAATCAAGCCTACAAGTTTCATTGAGGATTTCTAATGCATACTTACGTTGGTTAATTGTAATGCCTGATGAGGACTGAGCAACTTCAATACTTAAGAAGTATCTGATTGGACCTAAGTCTTTTGTCTGAAAGTTGTTAAAAAGATGAGTTTTGATTCGTTGGATACCCTCTGTATCATCTCTAGTGATAACAATGTCATAAACATAGACCATAAGAAAGATGTTTTGACCGGTGGAAGAATGAAGGAAGAAAACTGAGTGATCTGATTCACATCTAGTCATACCAAACTGTATCAAAGCAGTGCTGAAAAAGCTTTGAGCCACTAATACTTCTTATTTGGATATTCAATCTCAAAGTTTTTCGTTTCAATATTTTCGATTGAATGCAGGGTTGATTCAATATAATGTAAGACTTAAGACAAATATTAAAATGAGTTTTTTTTTTCATCTATCATAGTTATAATATTTAATTTTTATGAACATTCTAAGATATTTTACAACTGCAATTTTTGTTATCTACTATTAACTAATTTTAAAGTCTACAATTAGACACTTATGTTCTTTTTATCAAGATTGAGTAAGTCTTATTTTTGTAGTGAGTGAGTCATACTATAAACTCTCTCATATATTATGTTGTCAGAAAAAATTCTTTTATTTGTCAAATTTTTTTTTGAAGTCTTTATATAAGTAACAAGAAAAATTAAATTTCACAAAATAAAATATTTATGTTTTAAATTTTTTTATGTGAGGTTGGGATTAAAATGATCAAAGTTAAAAATGTATTAAATTTTATAACTAAATATTTAATTGATATTACGGTCATATATACAACAATAATGTTTCAGGGTCGGTCTAACACATCTTGAGACTTGAAGCAAAAATTTAAAATAAAATATTTTAATATAATACAAATATTTTTATTTTAAATTAATGAATTTTAATTTTAGGTTTTTAATAATTTTAAATTATTAAATTATTCTAATCAATTTTATCTAAAACTTTATATTTAATTGATAATAAAATCAACATATTTAAACACTCTGCTTATCATTTTAAAAAAATCATAATTAAAAAATCATTACCAAAATTCTTTAAAAAAACTTAAATTTTAAGGATTCTTTTATGTAATAAAACTTAAAAGTTTATTATTTATAAGTATGGTCTTTAACAAGGCGGTCATTAAAGGCGTGCTAACGAATCATCAGACAGAGCTCAAACAAATTTATGTTAAGTCACGACTATTTAGACCCTTATTTATTTGCCGAAATTAAACTACAATAAACCTACATAAGACCTTCAAAAATTTAAAACAATCTTGATTTTTAAATTAACCAATTATACAACATATATCCTAAATGGTTATTATGATCATAAATTCTCAAGAGATGCTACTATACTACATTATTTATATAAAAAGTCAATTAATTAGAATTATATAAATATTCAGATATATTAATAATAAGGCCCTAGGCGGTGGTTGTTCAATGATTTGAGTGAGACGAAAAGTTATCACCAACTATCGATCACCATGGTTGGGAAAAATCACAATCTTCATGAGTGAAGAGATAACAACCTTCATCGTCAGTGTGTGTCTATTTGTTCCAGTTTTCAGCAGATCGACTTTAACAAATATTGTTTTTCACTTTGTCGTTTGTGTTTACATATATTCATAGCTTGGGATTCAACTTTGTGTCTGAAAGAACTAGTTGATCAAGTTGATCATACTATATATGCTCTAACTAATAATATTAGGTTCAAGCTTAGCTTAATATTAAAAGTTTAATTTGGTTCGAGATTAGCCATGACAAAATCTCTCAAGTTCTTCGTTAGCCCATGATAAAACCAATATTAGGTTCATGAGCAAAGCCTAATATTAAAAGCTCTACCAGGTTTAAGATTAACATGTCTTAAAATTTTTGTTTAGAAGCTTGAAGACTAATCGCTTCAAGATTCTTGTGGGAAAAAAAACCACTTCGATCCATCATTTGGAAGGAAGACTTACCAAAGCTCTCCAATTTTTTTTTAAAAAATTTCATCATATTAGAAACGTCCTTGCTAAGGGAGTGTTAAGATGTAATTCACTTAGAAATATCTATATTAACATTCTTAATGGGATGGTCTTTAATGGTTCTCAATTCTTAAGATAAACATTAATTCTCTAAGTTAACTTCTTCAACTTGAATCTTTCCATTTTTACTTAAGACTTCCTATTGTCTTTGATGTTTTTATTTCCCCTGATCATCATCTTTCGAGGATGTACTTTCAGGGATACCTGCACAATTAATAACCTCTACTTCTACCTACTAGGGGTTAGTTCACCAAAGGTAATATGTATGCGTTCTTCTATGGTCTTTTTGAAAAGTAGTTTTAAAGGATATTACATTAAGGTTTTTAAAGATCGTGCATGAAGAAGATTATACTCTATTACCTTTGTTACATAATTTACTTAATACTAAGTAAATTGTGCAAAATTTTAACCAATTAGAACAACCAAAGGGTGGGATTAGGGATCTTACAAAAAATAGAATACTCAATGATTT